AGCTCTGGAACTAACCTTGTCGCAAACCTTTGTACTTTCTCTAGTTTCTTTACGTGCTTTATCAAGTGTGGGTTCCAAACAGGTGCTGCATACTCCAGTATGGGCCTGACATACATGGTGTACAGTGTCTTGAATGATTCCTTACTAAGGTATCGGAATGCTGTTCTCAGGTTTGCCAGGCGCCCATATGCTGCAGCAGTTATCTGATTGATGTGTGCTTCCGGAGACATGCTCGGTGTGTGTGTGTGTGTGTGTGTGTGTGTGTGTGTGTGTGTACTCACCTAATTGTGGTTGCAGGGGTAGAGACTCAGCTCCTGGCTCTGCCTCTTCACTGACCACTACTGGGTCCTCCCTCTCCCTGCTCCATGAGCTTTATTAAAATACCTCATCTTAAAACTATGTATAGTTCCTGCCTCCACTACATCGCTTGCCAGACTATTCCACTTCCTAACAACTCTGTGGCTGAAGAAACACTTCCTAACATCCCTCTTGACTCATCCGAGTCTTCACCTTCCAATTGTGACCCCTCATTTCTGTGTCCCATCTCTGGAACATCCTGTCTCTTTCCACCCTGTCTATTCCACGCAGTATTTTGTATATCGTTATCATGTCTCCCCTGACCCTCCTGTCCTCCAGTGTCGTCAGACCGATTTCCCTTAACCTTTCTTCATAGGACATTCCCCTTAGCTCTGGAACCAGCCTTGTTGCAAACTTTTGCACTTTCTCTAATTTCTTGATGTGTTTGGCCAGGTGTGGGCTCCAAACTGGTGCTTCATACTCCAGTATGGGCCTGACGTACACAGTGTATAAAGTCTTGAACGATTCCTTACTGAGGTACCGGAATGCTATTCTCAGGTTTGTCAGGTGCCCATATGCCGCAGCAGTTATTTGGTTAATGTGTGCTTCTGGCGATGTACTCGGTATTATACTCACTCCAAGATCTTTCTCCTTGAGCGAGATTTGCAGTCTTTGGCCTCCTAGCCTATACTCTGTCTGCGGTCTTCTCTGCCCTTCTCCGATCTTCATGACTTTGCATTTGGCAGGGCTAAATTCTAGGAGCCAGTTGCTGGACCATGCATCCAGCCTGTCCAGGTCTCTTTGTAGACTCTGTGTGTGTGTGTGTGTGTGTGTGTGTGTGTGTGTGTGTGTGTGTGTGTGTGTGTGTGTGTGTGTGTGTGTGTGTGTGTGTACTCGCCTAGTTGAGGTTGCGGGGGTCGAGTCCGAGCTCCTGGCCCCGCCTCTTCACTGATCGCTACTAGGTCACTCTCCCTGAGCCGTGAGCTTTATCATACCTCTGCTTAAAGCTATGTATGGATCCTGCCTCCACTACATCGCTTCCCAAACTATTCCACTTACTGACTACTCTGTGGCTGAAGAAATACTTCCTAGCATCCCTGTGATTCATCTGTGTCTTCAGCTTCCAACTGTGTCCCCTTGTTACTGTGTCCAATCTCTGGAACATCCTGTCTTTGTCCACCTTGTCAATTCCTCTCAGTATTTTGTATGTCGTTATCATGTCACCCCCTATCTCTCCTGTCCTCCAGTGTCGTCAGGTTGATTTCCCTTAACCTCTCCTCGTAGGACATACCTCTTAGCTCTGGGACTAGTCTTGTTGCAAACCTTTGCACTTTCTCTAGTTTCTTCACGTGCTTGGCTAGGTGTGGGTTCCAAACTGGTGCCGCATACTCCAATATGGGCCTAACGTACACGGTGTACAGGGTCCTGAATGATTCCTTATTAATGCTGTTCTGAGGTTTGCTAGGCGCCCATATGCTGCAGCAGTTATTTGGTTGATGTGCGCTTCAGGAGATGTGCCTGGTGTTATACTCACCCCAAGATCTTTTTCCTTGAGTGAGGTTTGTAGTCTCTGACCCCCTAGACTGTACTCCGTCTGCGGCCTTCTTTGCCCTTCCCCAATCTTCATGACTTTGCACTTGGTGGGATTGAACTCCAGGAGCCAATTGCTGGACCAGGTCTGCAGCCTGTCCAGATCCCTTTGTAGTTCTGCCTGGTCTTCGATCGAGTGAATTCTTCTCATCAACTTCACGTCATCTGCAAACAGGGACACCTCAGAGTCTATTCCTTCCGTCATGTCGTTCACAAATACCAGAAACAGCACTGGTCCTAGGACTGACCCCTGCGGGACCCCGCTGGTCACAGGTGCCCACTCTGACACCTCGCCACGTACCATGACTCGCTGCTGTCTTCCTGACAAGTATTCCCTGATCCATTGTAGTGCCTTCCCTGTTATCCCTGCTTGGTCTTCCAGTTTTTGCACCAATCTCTTGTGTGGAACTGTGTCAAACGCCTTCTTGCAGTCCAAGAAAATGCAATCCACCCACCCCTCTCTCTCTTGTCTTACTGCTGTCACCATGTCATAGAACTCAGTAGGTTTGTGACACAGGATTTCCCGTCCCTGAAACCATGTTGGCTGCGTGTGTGTGTGTGTGTGTGTGTGTGCGCGCTCACCTATTTGTGGTTGCAGGGGTCGATTCATAGCTCCTGGCCCCACCTCTTCACTGATTGCTACTAGGTCCTCTCTCTCCCTGCTCCATGAGCTTTATCATATCTCGCCTTAAAACTATGTATGGTTCCCGCCTCCACTACTTCACTTTCTAGGCTATTCCACGGCCTGACTACTCTATGACTGAAGAAATACTTCCTAACATCCCTTTGATTCATCTGAGTCTTCAACTTCCAATTGTGACCTCTTGTTTCTGTGTCCCATCTCTGGAACATCCCGTCTTTGTCCACCTTGTCAATTCCGCGCAGTATTTTATATCTCGTTATCATGTCTCCCCTGACCTTCCTGTCCTCCAGTGTCGTCAGGCCGATTTCCATCAACCTTTCTTCGTAGGACAATCCCCTTAGCTCTGGGACTAGTCTTGTTGCAAACCTTTGCACTTTCTCTAATTTCCTGACGTGCTTGACCAGGTGTGGATTCCAAACTGGTGCTGCACACTCTAGTATGGGCCTGACGTAAATGGTATACAGAGTCTTGAACGATTCCTTACTGAGGTATCGTTCCATAGGGTTGCCAGATGCCTGTATGCTGCAGCAGTTATCTGATTTATGTGCGCCTCAGGAGATATGCTCGGTGTTATACTCACCCCCAGATCTTTTTCCCTTGAGTGAGGTTTGCAGTCTTTGCCCATCTAGACTATATTGTGTCTATGGTCTTCTTTGCCCTTCCCCAATCTTCATGACTTTGCATTTGGCAGGGTTAAACTCAAGGAGCCAGTTGCTGGACCATGCTTGTAGCCTGTCCAGGTCTCTTTGTGCATGCGTGAGAGTGTTAGATAGGAGTGAATGGAGACGAATGGTATTTGGACCTGACGAGCTGTTGGAGTGTGAGCAGGGTAATATTTAGTGAAGGGATTCAGCGAAACCGGTTACTTTTATATAGCCGGACTTGAGTCCTGGAAATGGGAAGTACAATGCCTGCACTTTAAAGAAGGGGTTTGGAATATTGGCAGTTTGGAAGGATATGTTGTGTATCTTTATACGTACAGTGGACCCCCGCCTTACGAACGCATTGCGTTATGTTAAATCCACCATACGAAGCATGTGAAAGCAAAAATTTTGCCTCGCCTCACGATAAAAGACTCGCCTTACGTGATTCGTCCGGGACGTGTCCCATGTGTGGCCTCAGCGCCAGTGTTTACAAGCCAGCCAGTGCGGTCACATCTACGCATAAATTCGGTACATTTCACATTATCCCAGTGTTTTTAGTGCTTGTAACTGCAAAATAAGTCACCATGGACCCCAAGAAAGCTTCTAGTGCCATCCCTGTGGTAAAAAGGTGAGAATTAGTATGGAATTGAAAAAAAGAGATTAAGGAAATGTGTGCAAAGTGGGTTGAACTGCAAACCTTTACGGACGAAAATCACCCTGACACAGTTACTGCGAGCCGTGTTGGCAACCTGTACAATGACAATGTTATGGCCCATTTTAGGAAAGTCTTAAAGGAACGGGAGGTACAGAGCTCTATGGACAGATTTGTCGTGCAACAGAGGTCCAGTGACTCTCAAGCTGGTCCTAGTGGCATTAAAAGAAGAAGGAAAGCAACCCCGGAAAAGGACGTGCTACCTCAAGTCCTAATGGAAGGGGATTCCCCTTCTAAACCATAACTTCCACACTCTCCCCTCCTCCCATCCCATCAATCATCACCAGATCGTCAATAAAGGTAAGTGTCATGTATTCTATTCTTAATAGAGTAGTAATTGTGCATGTCTTCCTCACTTTGTGTGTATTAAAATTAATATTTCATGTAGTAAAAATTTTTTTTTCATACTTTGGGGTGTCAGGAAAGGATTAATTTGATTTCCATTATTTCTTATGGGGAAAATTTATTCGCTAACGATAATTTCGGCTTACGATGAGCTCTCAGGAACGGATTAATATCATAAGGCGGGGGTCCACTGTATATGCTTCTAAACTGTTGTATCCTGAGCACCTCTGCAAAAACAGTGATTATGTGTGAGTGAGGTGAAAGTGTTGATTGATAAAAGTATTTTCTTTTTGGAGATTTTCTTTCTTTTTGGGTCACCCTGCCTCGATGGGAGACGGCCGACTTTGGTAATAATTCTCTAAACACATTCAAAAGCAACATCACTAATACAGTACATGAAGGCCCCGCTTATACAACAGGTGAAATAAGGTGAAATACAGCTTTTTTCACTTTCAAATGCACATACATGTCAGATAACATGTTTGCACTATCATATATTAAGTTAGCAATAGAGCTAGACCTTAACACTGCATACAAAGTACACACAGTACTTAAAGTATTTTTGTTCTTAGATTTTAGCGAGTGGTGAATGCATTTTTTGTAGGAAGTCTGAATAAATGAAGAATGAGTTTAATTGAAAACTACTGCAGTAGCGAAATGCCATGAAGTGAAGTGCTATAAAGCAAGGCCCTCCTGTATGTGGACAGTTTAAAATGGATATTCATGTGCTACACCAAAACTAAGTGCATGTTTTGTAGACCGAACTTACCTGGAAGCCCTGTTTTGTCATGTCCTGCCATACCAACTGGGTAGTAGTTATGGAGAACCTCAGGAACATCCCAGTCCACAACTGTATCAGTACCCCACTCCTTGCGCCACTCCATGCTCTTGAAGTGGAGTATAGTTTATGTTTATACGAAAGTTTTATACATTACTATCAAAAACAAAATACCTCTGCAAATTAATTATTCTAAATATTCTAATTAATTATTCAGCTTAGAAATATAGTATACTATTCAGCTTAGAAATATGGTACATATACTATTCAGCTTAGAAATATGGTACACTAGTTAAAGAAAAGCCATGAAAAATAAGGAGTGCCTTGAAGTGGGCCAAGGGCTCTTGATATGAGGAATTGGCACTTATTTTGTTCCTACATCTTGGATTAAATCAAAATAATCCTCCAGGAAATTTAAGTGACATAAGGGCAAAAAGGTGAGTGGTGCACTGAGGCATCTGTGGAGTGAAAGAACATTACCTATGGAAGCAGATGGGAATGTATGAGAGTATAGCTATACCAACACTGGTATGGGTGTGAAACATGGGTGGTGAGTGTTGCAATAAGGAGAAGCCTGAAAGCAGTGGAGATGTAATGTCTGAGGGCACTGTGAATATAATGCAAAGAATCTGTAGTTTGGAAATTAGGAGTTGCGGGGTTACCAAAGGTATTGTCCAGAGGGCCGAGGAGGGGTTGTTGAGGTGGTTCGGACATTTATAGAAGATGGAATGAAACAGAACGGCTTGGAGTGTATAAATCTGTAGTGGAAGGAAGGCAGGGTAAGGGGTCCTCCTAGGAAAGGTTGGAGGGAGGGGGTAAAGGAGGTTTAGTGTGCAAGGGGCTTGGATTTCCAGCAGGTGTGCATGAGTGTGTTAGATAGGAGTGAGTGGAGATAAATGGTTTTTATAACCTGATATGCTGTTGGAGTGTGAGCAAAGTAACATTTATGAAGGGATTCAGGGAAACTGACAGGCCAGACCTGAGTCCTGGAGGTGGGAAGTACAGTGCCTGCACTCTGAAGGAGGGGTGTTGATGTTGCAGTTTTATAACTGTATCATAAGCATGCCTGTGGCAAGACAGTGATGGAGTGAATGATGATGAAAATGTTTCTTCTTTTCGGGTCACTGCTTTGGTGGGTAATGGCAATTTGTTAATAAAAAAAAATGTGGCTTTTAATATGGTTTGTATAATTTAACTCATGGGCTCTGCCCTATCCTCTCTTTTCAGAAAATTAGAATGGCTAGTAACTTTTAACATTAAACAAATTTTGGAACATAAAATGCAACCTGTGAGTGACTTGTGGTTTTAAACATAGAATGATTTCTGAGCTGAGAATTGTATATCTATACAAAAAGCAATTTCCATAGCCTGCTTTTAATAAATGCTTTTATTAAGGATTACTTTTTTATAAGACTGTTGAGCTGCTTGTGTGTGCAGACCTTCCTTACAACTGATTGAACAAAGACTAACAACAAAATGTGTTTACCGATCCTACATGCCTTATAGTGCCAAGACCAGCTGCAGTGAGACTTGCAAAGATAAAGTTGGTGTCCTGGTTGGAGGCAGTGTCTGTATGACTATGGTAGGGTGCCTCTCATCATGAGAGGTACACAAGGCCAGATCAACAGGGGGCACTACACTGTAAATGCACCCAGTGCCCTCTAGAAGGTGTATGCCAAGCTACAACATGCCTCCAGACCAGCCTTACAAAACTGATACTGTATTTATTTATAAAACTATTTTTGTGAGTTGTGGTTCATAAGTCGGTTTACATGCGACCAACAGTAACAGCCTGGTTGATCAGGCCCTGATCCACCACGAGGTTTGGTCACAGACCCGGCGCTGGGGCACTGATCCCCGAAACCCTCTCCAGGTATACTCTAGGTACAGACTACTGCTATATTGTATTGAATAATTTTTCAAGATTATTGCTTTTCTAGCAATAATCTTGAGTTCCTTGAAACCTTGAGTCCTGAACTTAATTAATTCCAGAAGGCTGTTTGAGTGCCAATACCGAATGAAACTGTTCCCATAAAGAATAGAGTAAATTAGATTAGTCCGTTTCAGACCCACAAAAATACACTTACAAAAGCACTTACAAAAATACACTTACATAACTGTTCGAGTTGGGAGCTGTTTGAAACTCGAGGTACCACTGAATTATTCATGGGAAAAGTGCTAAAGTTGTGAGGAACATACAGTGACTGAGGGAATGGGAGGCAATTAAATTTGATCCAAGAAAAGGGAGGTCAGGTCCCATTCCTTGGTTCAAGGGACTTTCATGGTATAAAGAAATTTCCCTTGAAGGTTTATATGACCAATACATTATTGAGACATGTTTTTAATGTAGTGACAAATGTTTTTTAAATGGCAATGTGTTTTGTAATGCTCAATGTTTCTTTTTACAGCTTATGATGTAAAACAAAATGTTACTACAATAATACCAATTTTATGAAAAAATTATATTTGTTTATTTCCAGTGCTTACTGTGTTTGTTTTATTTTATTTACAAAGCACTAGAACCTGTTAGTTTTTTGGCACTTTAAATATATTCCATTCTTACCAATATCAAATACTATATACACTCTCAGTAAAAGTATGATACTGTCACAATCACAAAGCAAGTATAACTCTTCAAAGTATTTTTCACTTTCAGCAATTCATGTCCATAATTCATTCCATAACATCAGTCATAAGTGTCAGGAAAAGTGAAATATCACCACTATTTATGCCTAAAGAGATGTTGGATTCTTAGAAAGGTGAGCACCTTGTGGACAGAGTGGCAACCCTCCCAAGGAAGATTATTATTATAATCATGGGGGAGTGCTAAACCCATGGGGATTATACAGCACCTGTGGGGGAGGGGATGGAAGGTATTCAGGCTCAATTCAGAGAACTGGAGCACAGATCCAATTCCCTAGATCAAGAGCCCCTCACCTGTGTCAAGGAACCTCCCTTGAGGTGTCCCAGGGAAGAGGTCCCTACTTCTAGGCACAAAAAAAAAAAAAAAATCAAAACCCCCATCACCATATGAAGGTCACCCAGAATTGAGGGCAAGTGCTTGTTGTGGAACTGATGCTTTTTACAAAGGCCTTTTTGTTTGGTTATTTCTTTAATGGAAAACTTGTGTGTTTTTGTAATACCTGGAGGTTATTCTGGGGATCAACGCCCCCGCGGCCCGGTCCACGACCAGGAATAAAGTTTCTTGGTAAGATCAATGCTTTTTCATAAAAGTATTTTTATAAGATTAAAGCCTTTTCGTATTAACCCTTTCAGGGTCGAGAGGCCCTCTCCTAAACTTGTTCTCAGGGTCGAAAATTTTTTGGAAAAAAAAAATTATTTTTTCTTATGAAATGATAGAGAATCTTTTCCTGATCATAATGACACCAAAAGCATGAAATTTGATGATAAACTTACAGAATTATGCTCTCGCGAAATTAGCAGTCTCGCCAATGTTTACGCATCGGCGATTCCGCCCACTTTGAGCCCTATTTTTGCCCAATTATTGTGTACTAGTCGACAAAAATCATATTTATTTTGCTAGAACTCCATTTTTTCTATCGAATGAGTACAAAAAACTACCCATTTACCAATTTCAACTATCCAATAAAGTGTTTAGAAATTGGCAATTTTGCCAATTTTACACAAATTTCAGAAGTTGCCAATTTCCAAATAGGGTCCAGAATAAACAAGAAAGACATTCCTGGCACTAAAATAACAAGTTCTCTATTCGTTAATCACATCCCCAGGCCCCTCATATTTCTTTTGCTTTCCACTTTGAATTTTTATACTTACAAAAAATAGAAGATTTACTGTTATGCAGACTACTGCATTAGTGTAGAAATGGTATAAATGATATCAGCGCACTTGTGAAAGAATATTTGACTCACCAGTTGATGTGTATTGGATGCTTGGCATGATTTGTTTACTTTTGAACTTTGGTAAAAATCGAACATTTTTGCTACTTCGAGCTCAATTTCAAAGAACTTTTCATTGCAAAACCAGTCAAAATCATCTCAATTTCTGTAATATGTCTTCCATTCTATAAAATGAGACCAGGAAAACTAGAATACAACCATAAATACCATACAAAAATACAATGCAAAATCGCTGTTTTAATCCAAAAACACGGTCAGTTTTTTTTTTTCTCATTAAGCACTGTGTGCTGCAGGATTTTTCTTATACTGCGCACACTGACCACATAGACCCATTCTTTCATACGTAGGCCTACCAGCTTTCTCTCGCTAGATTTGAAGGCGCTAGAATTTAGGCGTACTAGTACGTCAATAACCCTGGTGCGTAAGTCGTACTAGTACGTCGAAAACACTCATTTGTAAGAAGTTTATTTAAAAAAAGAACGAGTATATTGGGATAGAATGGCATGCAAATGTAATGGCCTTTTTTGTTCAATGTATCAACACATTAAAGAAGTGACTTGAGTGAGAGAAGGCCACACACCATTAATATTAGTCTAAGTGCATTATTTACTTTGAAAGTAAATTTTCATTATAAATATTCTGAACTTGCATTGTAAAAATAATTATACAATTTATAATGTATGGTATGAGTTTGGGAGGACAATTTTTTTTGTAATTCTAGATCCCTCTCCATGATTATTATATTCATCAGATTTAATTCTATAAAGGGTAAAATAACTCCAATTTCTTGGATTCACGAGCCCTTCACAAGCATCAAGGCACTCTCCTTGAAGGTTCCTCTTCCTGAAGCTTGCAATATTTTATCATGGCATGGCTGACATCCTCAACTCGCACACTGAGGGGTCCAGGATCAATCACCGGCATAAGTGAAACATTGGGTATGTTTCCTTACACATGTTGCCCCTGTTCACTAACAGTAAGTAGGTACCTGGGTGTTAGTTGACTGCTGCAAGTTGCATCCTGGGGGACAAGATTAACTTAGGCTGCCTGAAATGCTATACATAACCAGGAGCTTTCTATACAGTATATCAATAATGTCAACTAGGTGTGTATCAGTTGTATCAAGTACTTTGTATAAATAGATTTATTATTACAGGACACTTGCCTACACTAACTTCCATCATCAATTTCACATCTCTATATGAAAATTTTTTCCTTTTATCCTGTTTTAATTTTCTTCTCAAATGTATATCTATACAACATAAGGAATAAGAGATAGTTTTATTTATGTCTGAATTTTAAGATATAACCTAAAATAGATATACATTCTTTAAAATTGTAGTCCAACTACTCACCTTCCTGAGCATGTGTTCTGCCTTATCAATGTTGAAGTTGCGTGCTGAAAAGAGAACAATATTTTTTAACACATAAATTATATTGTAAATGAATACAGATGAACCCAAACTTATGACCACCAACTTATGCCCCCTGCATTTACAACCATTTTTCCATTGTGCCATTGAATAATAATGACTAGACTTACAATGGCATGACTGGCAATGGTTTGTTCAGATCAGCAGTTACCAACCATTTTTGCACCATGCCCCACCTCGACACCTCAAAAAATTTGATGTGCCCCTGATATAAAAAAAATTTTTGTTGAAATATAATACCGAGTAAAAATACAATACAGAAAGATAAGATAGTTTATTTTAGCATGATACAATGCTTGTACAGCAGTAAATGACATTTCAGTGTGCATGTAGAAAGCCCCTTAATATACAGAGCATTTTGAGCAAACTTAAGAATAACTTAAGATTAATAAGGCAATGACAAAATGAGTGGTTTTATACACAGTCTCTTAGGTGATTGTAAATATAAATTTAGGAGCTACAATGAATAAGAGAGAATTGAATATCCTATTAGTACATACAATACTGCTTTTATCAAGTTTAATTGTTTAAAGAATTACAGGTTTGATTATGATTATTTTATTGTAACAATTTTAAATTGCCCCCAAAACATTCAAATTGTTCCCCTGTGGGGCGTACACCTCACACTGGGAATCTTTGATCTAAAACCAACTGCCACTCATAAGTGCAAGGGTCACTCGTATATGGTAAAATTTACATGAATTTATGGCCTAGGGACAGGATTACAAAATGTAATGTACAGTAGACCAATGGATAACAATCTGTTAACGTTTTTGCTCTAACATGGTTGCAAAATTGCTGCATATTTTCAGTGTAAAAACTGTGAAAATCAGTTTACATGATGGAGCACATGTAAGGGATATGTGGCACTCTTCTTCCCTTTCATCCCACAACGAACCTCAGGGCAGGTCCATTGTCTTATGGGGAAGGCCTACATAACGTGCACAATCTTCCTCATCCAGTGTTTTGGTCGTGAGCATCCAATACCACACTTGACCTGTGTTTGTGAATCGACTTTTGATCTTTTCATCATCTCTGGGTAGTAACCATGGCAGCAAGAGGTATGCGAGTGATCCTGGTACTGCAGAGAAGCACAAGTGTGAAAGTCTCGGTGGGTAAAATCACCGATGCATAAATTGCACCCAGACCAATAACTTTGCACCAGCATAATTCTAAAATTTTTTATAAAATTTTATATTATGTAATATGTTATTACCTTCGGAAACAGACACAGAGTACTTTGTAAAAATTTCTTCTTATCCATGTTTTCAGGATTCAGGTCCCCTCCAGGAACTTAACCGCTCTCAATTATGGGATTGCACTGTACAAACTTATTCTATACAATGGTTCCAATAAAAACATAATTATTGTTGGCATACATCAGTGGCAATGGTTTAACCTAGGATCCCCCAACAAATGGATAACTAACAGGTTTTATTCCCTGACAGGGGAAGACATAAGATATGCAGTACATATTTAGGTTGTATTGTACTATTCACAATAAAGTGCTCCCCTCAATGGATGTTCCTTATGCCAATGAGGAGGCTCCTGATACAAGGAACTGAAACCTAACATCCCCTTCCTTGGATCAAACTTGATCGCTTCCCATTCCCGTAAGTACTGTATGACTCCTACAGGTTTAGCACTTACCCATAAATATAATATTAAAGTGTCAAGCATGATTGGGAATTGAGGTTAACACCCAGGTACCTACTTACTGCTAAGTGAACAGAGACAGCAGGTATAGGGAAACATGCTCAATGTTTCCACCTATGCCAGGGACTGAACCATGTACAGTCAGTGTGTGAGGTGAGAGCGTTGCCAACCAAGCCAAGGGACACTGCTTCTATCATAAATTTTTATCATACAATTTACGAGGGTAACTGTTGTCTTTGTCAATTTGATATCAGTGGCCTATGGACCCCTAGTATTCCTTATAACATTATGAAACCAGAAGTCAATCATATCAGAGATATTGTACTGATACTTGTTTTGGTTCAAGTACATAGCTGTGAAGCCTTAGGTACGATAACAATGGTTAACTACTGTTGGGTTTCGATTTGTGACACCCTTTAAGGATCATGCTGGTGAAATGCTTCTGATCTAAAGAACTGGAGCTACCTACTTCCTTGGATCAAACCACAGGTGTTGTATAATAATAATTTGTCACAACAGATGACATTTTATCTTGACTAACACATTTCTAACAAGTCAAAAGTGACAATTTCAACTGGTGATGCATCAAATGAAAAATCCTGTATTAATAAGAAATTATACTTGTGCGATTTTAAAATATTCATATAATGGCTTAATTTTTTTTTTTTTCTTTTTTTTTTTTTTTACAAATAAGCCAGAGACATATTATTCATGAACACATCCCCACTGTGTGGCAATGCAACTGAATTGGTAGCAAACATATTTAATGAGGGTTTAAACTAGATATGAAGAAGTTATTCTTCCTGCACAAGACTGTTCAACAAATCTAAACATTTGAATACTATATCAAAAATGCAAATAGATTTATCACTGCTCTGATTTGGCAACTGTCTGACTTTTTCGGGGGGGTTATCCCACATAATTTACATATACATGTATGCTAAACTATGTATGATAATTGTACTTGTGTGTACCTGTACGTGAATAAACTTACTGTCATGAACCCAGCCCCACAAACTGATTACAAGCAACGGAAAGAAGCCATCTTGACTGACTGTACTGGGTTATCCTAGGTAATTTACATATATAATGTTACTATAGTAAATACATGAATAAAATTACTGTCATGAACCCAGCCCCACAAACTGATTACAATTATTATTATTATTATTATTATCATGGAGGAGCATTAAACTCGTAGGCTTATACAGTGCACGTGGAAGGGGAAGGTAGGCAGGCTCAATTCAGGGAACTGGAGCACAGATCCAATTCCCTGGATCAAGAACCCCTCACCAGCATCAAGGAACCTACCTTGAGGGAAAAATAACACAATAAGTGGTGTGTTACCTAACCCCAAACAAATTATGGCTCTTATTGAAAGAACTGAAAAGTCAATTTCCACATGATACAATGTTTATATAGAAATGGGTGACATTGGATTGTATGCAGAAAGCCCATGACTATGCAGGGAATTTCGGGGGAGCTTAAGCCTAACCTTTCAATTCAAATTCAGTTAAAAATTTATTTCTTTGCGTAGAACACACTGTAGTTTACATGTAGTAAAATATTGTTAATCACAGAGAAAACCACTAACATTCCTGAGCATTCCGGCAGACAGCAATAAATAGGCATTACAGATACGTATTTATGGTTATTAAATGTGTAAACATAAATGATGGCCCTCTACACATGTGCTGTTATGTATGATAATCTATGTAACTGTATTTGTGTATACCTGAACAAACTTACTTGCTTATTGAATATTGTAAGTTACTGTACTTAACACCTTTCTACATCACAGAATAAACTGCTATTTTTTTTGTCAAACATTTCGAAAGATATTTAGCAAAAATAATACCTTTTATTTTAGCTGTAATGCTGTGTTAGGGTCAATCATTGGTGAGGTAATGTACACCATGTATGATAACTGGACTTATGTGTACCTGTGACTAAATAACTTACTTCTGTGAGACAAAGTGCCGGGTGGTTCCTGTCAATGTAAACACAGACAAGACACTAACATTTCTGACCATAACAGTAAATTTGGTTCTGTTACATTATGTTACATTAGGTAATGCTAGGATATTTCTGAATTATATTAGATTAGGTTAGATTTCATTAAGTTTTCCAAATTGTGTAACATGAAACTATCTCTATGCCCATAAAAGGCCCTAAGATTTGGAATTCATTGCCTTTAAGTAAGTGGTGGGTGGTTGTGTGTGGCAGTGATGTTGGGTGGTTGTGTGTGGCAGTGATGTTGGGTGGTTGTGTGTGGCAGTGATGTTGGGTGGTTGTGTGTGGCAGTGATGTTGGGTGGTTGTGTGTGGCAGTGATGTTGGGTGGTTGTGTGTGGCAGTGATGTTGGGTGGTTGTGTGTGGCAGTGATGTTGGGTGGTTGTGTGTGGCAGTGATGTTGGGTGGTTGTGTGTGGCAGTGATGTTGGGTGGTTGTGTGTGGCAGTGATGGTGGGTGGTTGTGTGTGGCAGTGATGGTGGGTGGTTGTGTGTGGCAGTGATGTTGGGTGGTTGTGTGTGGCAGTGATGTTGGGTGGTTGTGCGTGGCAGTGATGTTGGGTGGTTGTGTGTGGCAGTGATGTTGGGTGGTTGTGTGTGGCAGTGATGGTGGGTGGTTGTGTGTGGCAGTGATGGTGGGTGGTTGTGTGTGGCAGTGATGTTGGGTGGTTGTGTGTGGCAGTGATGGTGGGTGGTTGTGTGTGGCAGTGATGGTGGGTGGTTGTGTGTGGCAGTGATGTTATTCTTCCTGCTACTTACTTACTTACTTACCTGTAAACTTTGATGGATAACTGTCACACCTTGCCTCATTATGTACTAGAATGCGATAAAATTAATGAATTCAGACACAACTCGCTCTGAAATGCTCAAGAAATGTATACAGTGTTCCTTTTGAGTTCTTCATTCTTTCCGTACCTAAGCAGCTGGAACTTTGCGCTAATATTAAGTAACACAAAGTTTGCTCACCAACTAGCCACTGAAGGAGGTTGTGGTCATGTTGTTGACCAGGAGGAATCACACCAGCCACACGCTCACGGAACTGCGAAGAAATGAACAGCTGTTAGTTTGGTAACTGTAGGTTTAAAATGGGCATTAAAGTTGCAATTTACTCAAAACCCAATCATTAAGAGTACTTTAATTTCTAAACTAAGGATTAAAGGTACATACGCCTCTTGGTGTATTTTACGCCTTTCAAGTGGATGCCGTGACACTAGTGTAAGTTTCATGACTAAAGAAACCCGAACTATTCTCCCCATCGTTGAGTTAAACTCGATCATCTCTCATTCTCATGTGCTGTATGACCTCTACGGGTTTAACAATGTCACATGACTATAATGATCATAATGTATTTACTTTTCAACCCCATGTAGGAGTGAGAGTTTACTGTGGTAGCTGTCAGTTAGTTGCTTGTGTTTACTGATCTTACCATGAATGTGAATCTTGATGCCTGTGACTTAGGTGCATAGTTTTAATGTTCCATGTTGTTCCATCCTTCCCTGGCAAAGTTTTCCACTGTCTGCCTTGTCAGTGCTCCGAATATTTTGTATGGCATTATCATATTACATCTTTTCCTGCATTCTTCCGAAGATAAGAGATGTAACTCGTGTAGTTTTCCTGGTAATTCTAACAAATCCCATACTAGCCTAAAGGCATACTTTTCGACCCTTCGAGAGTTTCACTTTGTTTAGATAAGCCTAGGGATGGTGGGAAACTGGTTCTGTATGTTTAAGTATAGGTCGCACACGTATGAAGATTGACTTGTCCCAGGAAGTAAGTAAGTAAGTAAATTTATTCAGGTATACACAATACAGTTACATAGAATTATCATACATAGCAGCATATGTGTAGAGAACCTAGGATAACCCAAAAAAGTCAGAGAGTGACTTATTTCCATTGGGGTCCTTTTACCTTATTATTATAATATAAAGGTTATAATATTTTCTTATTATTCTATAATGAAGATAACATCTTATTATCATACTAAAAAGACTATCTACTACACGAGGGTCATTAAGACTATCTACAATACGAGGGTCATTAAGACTATCTACTACCCGAGGGTCATTACGACTATCTACAATACGAGGGTCATTACTAGGGATAAGGTAAAATTTACATGTATTTTAGCTAAAAAATAGAAAATCATTCCCCTCCCTTTCTGTTGCTTTATTCATCAGACACTTTTTGGCAGTCTTCTTGAACTGGTCCAACATTATTATTATTATAATCAAGGGGGAAGCACTAAACCCGTAGGATTATACAGCGCCTATGGGGGGATGGAAGGCATTCAGGCTTAATTCAGGGAACTGGAGCACAGATCCAATTCCCTAGATCAAGAGCCCCTCACCAGCGTCAAGGAGCCTTCCTTGAGGGGACTTGTCCCAACAAAGCCAAACAGTATGACTTATTTTCCACTGACATTCTTCCTTAAGATGGAAACTACAATAGAAGACTCAGACTAGCTCATATTTATTGCAAGGTTAACAAGGACAGGATATGTATGGAAACTTGCCTGTACCTCACTGAATTCTTTGGAGATGACATGTTTTTAATTTCAGAATGGAATGCTTAATTAAAGACGTTGATCCTGGGGGTGAGAGACGTAAACCCATGTATTCCACACGGCACAATAACCTGAGCTGCGACCTTGATGACCCTGCCAAGTTTTGTGTTCTTGCCCAGACGCAGAGCGTGAGGCCCGCCAACACACACACACACACACTCTACCAAGTGGAAAGTTATGAAGATTGGGGAAGGGCAAAGAAGACTGGGAACAGTACAGGCTAGGAGGGCCAAAGACTGCAATCCTAAGTCAAGGAAAAGGATCTCGGGGTGAGTATAATACCGAGCACACCTCTTGAGCATATCTGTTGCAGCATATGGGCGGCTGGCAAACCTAAGATCTGCGTTTCGACATCTAAGTAAGGATTCATTCAAGACACTGTACACTGTGTACGTCAGGCCCATACTGGACTACGCAACACCAGTATGGAACCCACACCTGGCTAGGCATGTCAGGAAACTAGAGACAATGCAAAGATTTGCGGCGAGACTAGTCTCGGAGCTAAGGGGCATGTCCTACGAGGAGAGGTTAAGAGAACTCGACCTGACGACACTGGAGGACAGGAGGGACAGGGAGGGGGACATGATAACGACATATAAAATACTGAGAGGAGTCGACAAGGTGAACAGAGACAGAATGTTCCAGTGATGGGATACAGCAACAAGGGGTCACAGTTAGAAGTTGAAGACTCAGATGAGTCACAGGGATGTTAGGAAGTATTTCTTCAGCCACAGAGTTGTCAGGAAGTGGAATAGTTTGGAAAGTGAAGTAGTGAAGGCAGGTACCATATACAGGTTTAAGAAGAGGTATGATAAAGCTCATGGAGCAGGGAGAGAGTGGGCCTAGTGGCGACCAGTGAAGAGGCGGGGCCAGGAGCTATGAATCGACCCCTGCAACCACAATTAGGTGAGTCCAATAGGTGAGCGCACACACGGCCAGGAGCTGTGAATTGAGCCCTGCAATCACATATAGGTGGGTACACACACACGGTAAATAATGTCTCACAAACCTACTACTGTACAGGGTAGCAAGTGAGACAGGAGAGAGGGATGGGTGATTTATTTTCTTGGACTGTAGTAATTCTTTTGAGGTAACACTGGTGAATTAGTTGATGAATTAGCTAAGCAAGCATTACATAAAGAGAATGTTCAGCATAATTTTTTTTCAAACAGAAACTTACGAAATATTGTCAGAAAAAAGTAACAAACGAGCTTAAAAAAAAAATACAGTTGGAACTAGCATTTCATTATAATGAAATGTGTGAAGATAAATATATCTCTAGAGTAACAAGGTCAGTAGATTGCAGAATGTTGCTGCTGCTAGACTAAGGCTAGGCTATAAATATCTGTGGCAGTACGGTTTGTATGGAGATGTCAACTGCATAAAATACAATGTGTGGAGAGAGACAGGGCCATACACTGCAGCATTATATCTCAGTGTGCAAAAATACAACCTTTTAGAGATACCTTCACGCAAACTTTACAGGATATCTGAAATCCTGAGGTCGTATCCACAAACCAGGGTGCGGGTGGGACTTGAAGTAAGGGAAGTAAGTCCTAAAACTCAGGCCAGTGTGTTAACCACTTGGCCAGCTGACTCTAATAAGATTAATCTAACTAGGTATATGTCTGTAGGTATATGTCTGTATACCATACGGAGGTTAGCATGGGCCTCACTGTGACCACAAATGCATTTCTTGTTTTATAGACGAATCCGACACTAGCATGGCTGTGGCGTACTCTACCTCAAGTTCCTCCAAACCGACCATCATGATTTCACATTTTGCATCGACTACATGCATGACCGGTGTTTTATAGAGGAACTGCAAGCCAATTATAATGTTTTCAGTAGTAATACGATATCATATTTTTTGAGACTGTATTCCACAGTGTATTATACCTAGAGAGGGTTTTGGGGGTCAATGCCCCCCGCGGCCCGGTCTGTGACCAGGCCTCGTGGTGGATCAGGGCCTGTTCAACCAGGCTGTTACTGCTGGCTGCACGCAAACCGACGTACGAACCACGGCCCGGCTGTGTTTGGTTCTTTCCAGAGAAATAATAATGCTCACTGGGGTTTGACAGACCTATTGTGACCTCTGTGATCCTTTTTTATTTTTTGCACTTCAGTTCACAGAATGAGCCTCGGGTGTACAATAAACTAGCTACTCAGGCGACACAACTAAACTCTTGGACTGTTTACCTGGAGAGAGTTCCGGGGGTCAACGCCCCCGCGGCCCGGTCTGTGACCAGGCCTCCTGGTGGATCAGAGCCTGATCAACCAGGCTGTTACTGCTGGCTGCACGCAAACCAACGTACGAGCCACAGCCCGGCTGGTCAGGAACCGACTTTAGGTGCTTGTCCAGTGCCAGCTTGAAGACTGCCAGGGGTCTGTTGGTAATCCCCCTTATGTATGCTGGGAGGCAGTTGAACAGTCTTGGGCCCCTGACACTTATTGTATGGTCTCTTAACGTGCTAGTGACACCCCTGCTTTTCATTGGGGGATGTTGCATCGTCTGCCAAGTCTTTTGCTTTCGTAGTGAGTAATTTTCGTGTGCAAGTTCGGTACTAGTCCCTCTAGGATTTTCCAGGTGTATATAATCATGTATCTCTCCCTCCTGCGTTCCAGGGAAAACAGGTTTAGGAACCTCAAGCGCTCCCAATAATTGAGGTGTTTTATCTCCGTTATGCGCGCCGTGAAAGTTCTCTGTACATTTTCTAGGTCGGCAATTTCACCTGCCTTGAAAGGTGCTGTTAGTGTGCAGCAATATTCCAGCCTAGATAGAACAAGTGACCTGAAGAGTGTCATCATGGGCTTGGCCTCCCTAGTTTTGAAGGTTCTCATTATGCATCCTGTCATTTTTCTAGCAGATGCGATTGATACAATGTTATGGTCCTTGAAGGTGAGATCCTCCGACATGATCACTCCCAGGTCTTTGACGTTGGTGTTTCGCTCTATTTTGTGGCCAGAATTTGTTTTGTACTCTGATGAAGTTTTAATTTCCTCGTGTTTACCATATCTGAGTAATTGAAATTTCTCATCGTTGAACTTCATATTGTTTTCTGCAGCCCACTGAAAGATTTGGTTGATGTCCGCCTGGAGCCTTGCAGTGTCTGCAATGGAAGACACTGTCATGCAGATTCGGGTGTCATCTGCAAAGGAAGACACGGTGCTGTGACTGACATCCTTGTCTATGTCAGATATGAGGATGAGGAACAAGATGGGAGCGAGTACTGTGCCTTGTGGAACAGAGCTTTTCACCGTGCCTGCCTCGGACTTTACTCTGTTGACTACTACTCTCTGTGTTCTGTTAGTGAGGAAATTATAGATCCATCGACCGACTTTTCCTGTTATTCCTTTAGCACGCATTTTGTGCGCTATTACGCCATGGTCACACTTGTCGAAGGCTTTTGCAAAGTCTGTATATATTACATCTGCATTCTTTTTGTCTTCTAGTGCATCTAGGACCTTGTCGTAGT